TTTTTTAGTAGAGACGGGGTTTCACCGTGTTAGCCAGGATGGTCTCGATCTCCTGACCTCATGATCCGCCGGTCTCGGCCTCCCAAAGTGCTGGGATTACAGGCTTGAGCCACCGCGCCCGGCCTCTTTTCTTTCTTCTAATGGAGTCTCACTCTCTCATCCCCGCTGCAGTGCAGTGGTGCAATCTCTGCTCACTGCAACCTCCACCTCCCAGGTTCAAGTGATTCTCCTGCCTCAGCCTCTTGAGTTGCTGGGATTACGGTGCGCACCACCATGCCTGGCTAATTTTTGTATTTTTAGTAGAGATGGGGTTTCACCATATTGGTCAGGCTGGTCTCAAACTCCTGACCTCAGGTGATCCTCCTGCCTCGGCCTCCCAAAGTGCTGGGATTACAGGTGTTGAGCCACCGCGCCTGGCCTTCTTTCTTCTTTTGAACCCACTGGGACTTAAGAAATTTTTCCTTTCTTTCCTGTACTCACTTGGAAGTTACATACATCGCATTGTGTATTTTGGCTGTTTTTTGTTTTTTTCTTAATCTTATCTATTTCTATTTAGTCTTTTCAAATAGCTAGCTTGTAGCTTTGTTAATACTCTGTATATTTCGGATTTCTATGTCACAGTTTCTGAGTTAAATGTAATTTCCTTTTCTACTTTATTAAATTTAGTACCTTCTCTTCTCTGTCCTCCTCAGTTTCCTCCTCCTCTTTCTTTTTCCCTGAGTTAATATTTAGCTTCTTTTACTTCCAGTCTTTTGTGTTTTCTAATATATTCATTCAAAGATACGAATGTTTCTTTGAGTGTTGCTTTGGTTACATAGCCTACATATTTTGCTATACGGTGCTTTGAATGTCATTTATTTTCCAATATTTCCTAAGTTTTGATGTTGTTTCCATTAGCTATTTGGGAATATGCTTTCTGTTTTATTTATTTTAATTTTTACTATTTTTAACTGTGATTTTTAAATTTATTTGCATTTGTCTTGGGATCATGGACTATGTGATACAGATTTTTGGAATTTGCTGAGATTTACTTTGTGACATAGTACATGCAACTGTTTCATGCAAATGTTTACAACTGTTTCATGCATTTTAAAGTTTGGTCTTTTAAATTTTACATTCTTTTTTCATACTTAGTTCTACAGATGCACTTTTTAAGGGAATGTAAATGCTCCATCTGTTGGCTACTGGGTTCTCCTTATTTATTAAATGCAGTCTGTTAATTATGCAGTTCAAATCTATATCCTTACAAGTTTTTTTTTTTTTTTTTTTTTTTTTCCTGCTTATTTTCTTTGTTTCTCAGAGGGGTACTTTAAATCTTTTCGCTGTGATGGTAACTGATGTATCCATGTCCTCTCTAATTCAGTCAGCTTCTCCTTTACTTACAACAAGCTACGTTGTAACTGACGACATACAACAAGCTCTGCTGTTGAGCTCATAGAAGGCCGTGAGTAGTATGTCTTCTTGGTGGTTCATACAGTCACTTCTACAATGTATCGTCAAAAATCTCTGCGCTGCACAAAACTGTGTAATAAAAACCACAGGGCTTAGAGGAAACGGGATGTTAAGGGGCATAACACTCAGACATGTTGCCAGTGGCACAAAAAAAGACAGTTGCCTAGCGAACTATGCCTAGTACACCTAATAAAATTTTTACTCATAGCCAATCCTATGGGGGCCCTTCTTGCTAAGGTCTAAAGGTAGTACCCTTACTAGATTTACTGTGTCTCCACTATCTTCACAGAAACTCCTCATTCGTTCTGATTTTGACTAACTCATAGCAATACTGTGTAAGGCAGATGTAGACATTTTTGTTTTTGTTCTCTTCTTTAGTTTATACTTTTAATGGGTGTTACAATAGGGCAGTGAGTGGAAGAATTTATATATAAATCCCAAGAAATCTAGCATCACAGGATAATTGGCACCTTGAACCACAATTGGATAATAGAGCAAGAAACTATTAAAGCTAGTCATAGTTAGCGTAACAGAGGTTTAATTTCCATTGGAAACTTCAACTTATTTCAAAATAGAGCTATGCATGGTTTTGGCCTGGATTTGGGGCAGACCTAACAATTTGGAGGAAGAAATAAGAAGATACTCATCATACTTCCCTTTCACCTCTTCTAGCTATGTTCCGTGGAACCTGCATGAGCCAGAAAGAGGCAAATTTGACTTCTCTGGGAACCTGGACCTGGAGTACGTGGTGTTGCTGCTTCTGTGACCTGGCCAGGGGCAGGGGCAGGGAGGTGGCTGGGAGGGACCTGGGTCTGGAGTCCTGTTCTAGGGCTGCGAGAGGACCTGCACCCGGGACCTAGATACTCCCCAGTCGTGACCTGCTGGGCCCGCAGCCTTTGGGCCCCACTTCTCCACTGCAGCCCAGAGGGGCAGAAGACCCGGGAGCCGCCCGACTCTGCATGGGGTCCGGCTGCCTGGGCTGGGGCAGGGCGGCTCCTCTAGGCTAACAAGGCTGTTGGGTCAGGTTCACTGTTAAGACCCCTGTGTCCTGGCTGTCACCCTTCCTCCTCAGGCCCCTGATGAGGCTGTGCAGAGGCTCTGAGGCTGGGAGCAGCTCAGGCCACCGACTTAGTGTGGGAGTCTCCGCTCTTTGCGGGTGGGGCCGAGCTGTCCCTTCACCCCACCGGGCAGCTCCTCCACCCTGTGACGTGTGTGGCCCCCACCCGGCCTCATCCTGGGCCGTCATGGGAGGGGCTGACGATGTGGACCTCCCTAGGGCCTTCGTCCTGATGGCTGCGGAGATCGGGCTGTGGGTGATTCTGCGTCCAGGCCCCTACATCTGCAGTGAGATGGACCTCGGGGGCTTGCCCAGGTAAGCGGGGCTGCAATCCCAGAGTTGTGGTTCTAACGAAGTATTTGGTTTCATGAATTTCAGTCTAGTAACAAGGAAAGTAACTTTATTCACGGAGCTGATGAGGGGTGTGCTGCCCCAAGCCACGCACCGCGCCTGCGTTGTCTGTGAAGCCTGCGGTACTGGGGTCAAGAGGGTGTGCGCGGGGAGAGGTGGTCACAAGAGGCTTCCACTCTTCTTTCCCCACACAGGAGGGGCTGTGGCCCCCTCTGTCCTTCTCAAAATGCCCTGGGAAGAAAGGGACCGGAAGCTTTAAGGCCTGCAAGGGAAGGTTCTGACGACTCTGGGCTTGTTTTGAAAACTTCTGATCTTTCGCTTATTTTGTGAGGGGAGGGCTGCCTTTCCATGCAGTGAGACCACCCTCAGCTCCCCTCCCTTCCCTCTTGCTTTTCTTTGCCTTGTTCTCGCCTCTGTGATTCTGGCCCCCAGCCCAGACTGCTGAGGGTCAGGGTGAGACTCCAAGACTGCTGTCTGCTACCCCTGTGGTGGGCAGGGCTTCCTGGGGAATCTGGGGCTCTGCCTCCGGTGAGCACCTCTGCACCTCAGGGTCAGATGAGGCCTTTGTTTTCTCTAGGGGCAGAGAAAGCCTGAGCTGAGGGGAGTGGAGTTTTCGGGAATCAGTGACTCCCGGCATAGCTTGACTGGAGGCCTGCCTGGCACTTCCCCAGTGACCTGGAGAAGGCAGAGTGTCATTGGCACGTAGGCTCCTGCCCTGAGCCTGAAGCCTTAGCTCTTAGTGGAAATGTGACAGTGTGCCTAAGGAAACTTTTCTGTCCCCAAGAATTTTTTTTTTTGAGATGGAGTCTTGCTCTTGTCACCCAGGCTGGAGTTCAGTGGTGCGATCTCGGCTCACTGCAACCTCCATCTCCCGGGTTCAAGCGATTCTCCTGCCTCAGCCTCCTGAGTAGCTGGGATTACAGGCGCCTGCCACTACACCTGGCTAATTTTTGAACTTTTAGTAGAGACAGGGGTTTCGCCATGTTGGCCAGACTGGTCTCGAACTCCCGACCTCAGGTGATCCGCCCACCTCGGCCTCCCAAAGTGCTGGGATTATAGACATGAGCCACCACGCCCGACCGAAAAATGTTTTCAATAAACTGAAAAAGAATGGAGAGTGTTCAACAAAAGGCAGAAGAAAAAGCTCTTTCAGACATGACTGTAAGAGACTTGACAGGCCAGACCCTCAGTCAGACCAAATGGAGCTGAAGGCACTTCTGAAGTTGCGAAGTGCTTTGGAGGTGGAGGCGGGTGTTTGCTTTCAAATCCCAAAAGTCAATGAGAATGGTCTGAAAGTCTCACGAGGCACAGATCTTTCCAGGACCCCTGAGTGCTCCAGGACCACGGGTGTGAGGCAGCTGGGCAGACGTGCTGGGCGAGCTGGGGCAGCTCTGAGCCCTCTCCTCCTTCCCTCTCCCATCCTGTCTCAGACCCTGAGCCTGCCCCTCTCTCCCCTAGCTGGCTCCTGCAAGACCCCCGGTTACTGTTGAGGACAACCAACAAGGGCTTCACTGAAGCAGTTGAGAAGTATTTTGACCACCTGATTCCCAGAGTGATTCCTCTCCAGGTAAAGCCAAATTATCTTCTGTATCTTTCTTACATGCATTTTCCTGATCGGGCAGTGGAAGGTCGTGGGACCCACATACAAGTGGTGGCATAACCCTAAGGCAGGAGGGAGGTGGGAATATGGATGGGATTGGCGGGAAAGCAGATGCATTTGTAGGTTTGAGGGCTCAAGTTTAAGTAGCTAGTGTGAGAAACAGGGAAAACTGTGGCAGTTACGTGTCTGCGACGCACTGGGGATGGTGGCTCCCACAGCAGCCAAGTGACCCAGCAGACTAACTCCAGTGCTGGAGCAGAGCGCGCAGACCGCGGGGGCTGTGGATCAGAGCCTGGCACACCAGCTGTGCAGCCTTTAGCAGCAAGCCCAGAGACTCCAGGCTTTTGCCCCAAATAGCCTCACTCTTTAACCCTCCTCTGCTTGTCTCTCAGTACCGCCAGGGAGGCCCTGTCATCGCGGTGCAAGTGGAGAATGAATATGGCTCATTCAATAAGGATAAAACCTACATGCCGTATCTCCACAAGGTAAGAGGGCCTTGGTTTGGCCCCATGTTTACATGCCTCCTTCCTCCGTCTGTCTCTTTTCTGGTGTGCTTTTCTGATTCCTGGATGCATGGGTGACCGGCTGGGCACTGTGCATTCTGAGAATACTGGCCTGTGCACACGAGGTGCTGAGGGGTGCTGGCCCACTGCGTGGCTGAAAGTTTGCACATAACTTCTGACTCCCTCAAAATGTAGTCACTAATAGCCTACTGTTGACTGGAAGCCTTACCGATAATACACAGTTGATTAATGCAGGTTTTGTATATCTATTATATACTGTATTCTTACAATAAAGTAAGCTTCAGAAAAGAAAATGTTACTAAGGAAATAATAAGTAACAGAAAATATATTGACTTCTCATTAAGCAGAAGTGGATCGTGGTAAAGGTCTTTATCCTCATCATCTTCATGTTAAGCAGGCTGAGGGGGAGGAAGAGGTGGAGGAGCAGGGGTTGGTTTTGCTGACTCAGGGGTGGTAGAAGAGGTGGAGGAGGAGGAGCTGGTTTTGCTGACTCAGGGGTGGCAGAAGAGGTGGAGGAGGAGGAGCTGGTTTTGCTGACTCAGGGGTGGCAGAAGAGGTGGAGGAGGTGGAGGGGAGGCAGGAGAGTTAACTTGTATTGAAAAAATTCCGAGGATAAGTGGATCTGCACAGTTCAAACCTGTGTTGTTCAAGGTTCAACTGTAGATCGAGTTCATTTTCTCTGTGAATGCACAGCAGTCAGGACAATCACTATGTACTTAATAACTTTATTAGAAGACAGAACGTGGCGTTAAAGGGCTATTCCTTTCTGCTTCCTCTCTCTGTGACCCACGTTCTCATTAAAGCTGGGGTTGGTGAATCTTCCTCCGCTGTAAATAACGCTTCAAGAATTTAGTGATGTGACTCTCAGCTTGAAGCTTTCTGGCCTGTAAGACAAACGTCATCTCTTCTGTCCTCCTTGCTTCTTCATGGAGGGACGTCTCAGGCCAGGGAATAACTGCAGTTCTGCCTGCTGTCCTTCCTGGTGGCTCAGCCGCTGCTGGCCCCTGACTTCCCACATTCAGGAAGCTGATGAGAGTTCAGTCTCAACTGAACCCCTCCTTGGGCTGCCAAGCAGGGTGCAGGGCTGCACAGTGGGCCTGAGCCGTCCTGACTCCACCCTTGCCTCTGCAGCAGGGCCTGCACGGAGACCTGTCTGGAGGCTGGGAGGGGAAGAGGAGGGGTCCCCAGCTGGGCAAAGTGGGGAGGAGGGTGGGGCTGGACTTCATCCACATGCTGGCTCTCGCCCTGCAGCTGTGGCTTCTGGAGTTGGACAAGGTCAGAGAGTAATTTCCCTCCCTAACTTTTCCCAGGGGCTGCATGGCTGCCCTGAATCAGTTGTATTCAGCCAGCATTTTTTGTTCTTGATTTTAAAATTTACTGGCTGGGCTCCGTGGCTCACGCATACAATCCAGTACTTTGGGAAGCTGCTGCGGGCGGATCACCTGAGGTCAGGAGTTTGAGACCAGCCTGGCCAGTGTGGCAAAACCCTGTCTCTACTAAAAATGCAAAAATTAGCTGGGCGTTGTAGTGCCTGCCTGTAATCCCAGCTACTCGGGAAGCTGAGGCGGGAAAATCACTTGAACCTGTGAGATGGAGTTTGCAGTGAGCCGAGATTGTGCCACTGGACTCCTGCCTGCGCGACAGAGTGAGACTTGTCTCAAAAAAAAAAAAAAAAAAAAAAAAAAAAAAAAAAAAATTACCATTCAACTCCAATCCCAGGCCCAGATGTGGCTCAATGAACACAGGAGACGCACAGCCGGGCCCTGGCTATCTGGCCTCGTAACCATGGTTTTTCGGATGAGATCTCCCCATCCCTGCAGCCATGGCAAGCTTCCTTGTTCCCCTTGACAGTGTTGGGCAGCACCTGAGCTTGGTGAAGTCCCTGATGGTTCTCAGGACCCCACAGCTGCAGCCTCTCCCCTTCCAGCACAGAGTGATTCCCTAGTCGTCTTCCTCCTCTTTCAGTGACTTAGATCCTCTTCCAGGGCATTTCCTGGTAAACTCAGCCCACTGTTCCTGGAGGCTTTGGTTATGGGGTGTCAGAACCCACACTCGACCGATTTTGGGGTCATTCCCCACAAAAATCACCAGGCTGAGACAGACAGTGATTTCCCCGAATTTACTAAGTTGCAGAAGGTCAGACTCTGAATTCAAACCCTTGTCTAGCTCACATCTCACCCAACTGAACCATGCTCTGTTTCGTTTCCAATTTCCTCATGTAGTCGTCCCTTGGCATCCATGGAGGATTGATTCCAGGGCCCCCATGGACATGAAATCGGTTGGTGTTCAAGTCCTTGACATAAAATGGTGTGGCATTTCCATGCAACCTATGCACATCCTCCTATATGCTTTTTTTTTTTTTTTTTCTGAGACAGTTTTACTCTGTCACCTAGGCTGGTATGATCTCGGCTCATTGCAACCTCCGCCTCTGGTTTCAAGCAATTCTTGTGACTCAGCCTCCCAAGTAGCTGGAATTACAGGTATGCACCACCACACCTGGCTAATTAGAGACAGGGTTTCACCATATTGGCCAAGCTGGTCTTAAACTCTTGACCTCAAGTGATCTGCCTGCCTCAACCTCCCAAACTGCTGGCATGAGCCACTGTGCCTGGCCTCTCCCATATACTTTAACTTATCTCTAGATTACTTCTAATACCCAATACAATGTAAATGCTACATAAATAGTTGCTATATATTACTCTTTAGGAAATAATGATTGGAAAAATGCCTGTACATGTTCAGTACAGATGCAACTAAGAAATATATTTTTGGCCAGGTGTGGTGGCTCACACCTGTAATTTGAGTACTTTGGGAGTCCAAAGCAGGAGGCTCACTTCAGGCCAGGAGTTTCAGACCAGGCTGGGCAACATAGTGAGACCCTGTTTCTATAAAAGAAAAAAAATTAGCTGGATATGGTGGCGTGTGTCTGTAGTCCTAGCTACTCAGGAGACTGAGGTGGTAAGATGGCTTGAATCCAGGAGTTTGAGGTTATAGTGAGCTATCATCATGCCACTGCACTCCAGCCTGGAGAAACACAGTAAGATCCTGTATTGGGGGAAACCCCACCCCCGATATTCAACGTGGGTTATTTTCTATTTCCCTAAGCATTGGCTGGTCTGAGAAATAAAGGGAAAGAGTACAAGAGAGAAATTTAAAAGCTGGGTGTCTGGGGAAGACGTCACATGTCGGCAGTTTCCGTGATGCTCCCTAAGCCATAAAACCAGCAAGTTTTTATTAGCGATTTTCAAAAGGGGAGGGAATATACGAATAGGGTGTGGATCACAGAGATCACATGCTTCACAAGATAATAAAATATCACAAAGCAAGTGGACGCAGGGCGAGATCACAGGACCACAAGATGGGGTGAAATTAAAATTGCTAATGAAGTTTCAGGCACCCATTGTCATTGATAACATCTTACCAGGAGACAGGGTTTGAGAGCAGACAACCTGTCTGACCAAAATTTATTAGGTGGGAATTTCCTCATCCTAATGAGCCTGGGAGCGCTACAGGAGACCAAGGCTTATTTCATCCCTTTGGCTTCGACCGTAAAAGATGGCCGGCTCCACGTGGGCCGTTCATAGGCCTACCCTCAGGGGTGCATTCTCTTTCTCGGAGATGTTCCTTGCTGAGAAAAATAATTCAGCGATATTTCTCCTATTTGCTTTTGAAAGAAGAGAAATATGGCTCTGTTCCATCCAGTTCACCGGCAGTCAGAGTCCAAGGCCATCTCCCTTGTTCCCTGAACACTGCTGTTATCCTGTCCTTTTTTCAAGGTGCCCAGATTTCATATTGTTCAAACAAACATGCTCTATAAACAATTTGTGCAGTTAACGCAATCATCACAGGGTCCTGAGGCGACATACATCTTCTTCAGCTTACAAAGATGATAGGATTATGAGATTAAAGTAGAGACAGGCATAGGAAATCACAAGGGTGTTGACTGGTGAAGTGATAAGTGTCCATGAAATCTTCACAATTTATGTTCAGAGATTGCAGTAAAGACAGGCGTAAGAAATTATAAAAGTATTAATTTGGGGAACTAATAAAAGTTCATGAAATCTTCACACTTTATGTTCTTCTGCCGTGGCTTCAGCCGGTCCCTCCGTTCAGGGTCCCTGACTTCCCACAACAACCCTGTCTCTAAAAAAAAATTTTAAATTAAAAAAATAAAAACATTTCTGACTGTGATTGCAGAATTCATGGATGCAGAACCCATGAGTATGGGGAGCTGTATGTCTTTCTTTTTTCGCAATGGAATGAGGGAATTGGGTTCATTTTGGTTAATTTTCTCAACAGGCTCTGCTGAGAAGAGGGATTGTGGAGCTTCTCTTGACCTCCGATGGTGAGAAAAATGTGCTGAGCGGCCACACCAAAGGAGGTACACATTTAGAGTTAGTTCACAGGAGAACAAGGCTTTCAGCTAGCCCATGTAAATCTTGAACACACCTCAGAGAAAAACAAGTGCATCTTGATGCCTCCTTTTCCTGTGTCCACTGGGATGGATCTTGGAGTCTGATAATAAATGAGGACTCAAGGTCAAGGTTCAGGGCCGCTCACCAGCCCCCTCTCTTGGCCTTGCTCCTGCTGTCTTTAATCACAGCAGCACTGAAGCTCCTCTGTCCTCAGGACGCCTTTCCATCTCCCATAGTTCTTCTGTGGTAAGGAATCTGCATTAGTACTGGGCCTGGCTTGGGATCAGGGCCGTCTCCACTAACGTGGGAAACCACAGGGAGAACCAGAAGATGGGTGTTGTGTCAGGAACCCCGCCTAGACCCTGTCCCGTTCCTGGGATCCTACCGCCCAAGGCTCCGTGTGGACACTTAGGAGATCCTAGAGAATTAAGTGGCAGGAAGATTCAGGACGGACTCATCAGATGGCAATAGTGAGGGACACGCCCGGGTGTGAGCAGGCCGGTGGGGCGGGCTGCTGCCCTTCTGCCTCCTTAGCAGCGGCTTTTCCACCGGAGCGTGGTACACTGGAACACGTGCTGAGCTTGGGGCCAGGACGCTGCGTTCCGTTTCCGGTCTAATCATGTCAGGGAGCCTTGGCCTGGCTCACTTTCCTGCACAGAGCGTAGCTAATGTTAACAATCAGTGTCCGTGCAAGTGTCAGGGATGTGGCGATGGCCATGGCAGCCCTTTGGACGTGGCAGAGTGCGATCCGGGCAGCGTCTCGCCATCCTCACTGCTGCGCCTGCGCTCCTCCCGCGTGCGTCTGGGCGGGGGCGGGGGGCGGGTTCCTTCCTTCCTCGTGCGTCGGGGCGGGGGCGGGTTCCTTCCCTTTCCTGAAGGTGCTCGGCGCCGCCTCAGTCGGGCCTCTCTTGTTTGTGCAGTGTTGGCCGCTATCAACTTGCAAAAAGTTCAGCGGAATACTTTCAACCAGCTTCATAAAGTCCAGGTAAGACGTTTGAGACAGGCGGGTTTTACAGCTGCTCCTGCCGTGACCGCCCTCGCCTGGGTAACTGGTGTTCCGTGAAAACAGCTTTGACAAGAAGAGCGCAGGTTTCCACCTGGGTCCTCGGCAGGTTCCAGGCCATGTGGGGAGCCTTTGGGGTGCGGAGGGAGGAGGGGAGCCGCGTGTTCACCTCCGCTTGTGGAGCACTCACGGAGATGAGTGGGCAGGGCGAGGGGTGACGGAATCAGCGGGAGACGACGTTCCTGCCTTTGGCCTGTGAAGCCGGAGCCGAGAGGGCCGTGCGCGTGGCTGATGGAGGCCTCCCAGGGAGTTCTCGTGGGGTTAGCCTGTCCCGCCACAGCATACACATCGCGGGAAGGGACGAGGGTTGTACCTGCGCTGATTTAACAGACGCGGATTGAGCGGCTCCCACCTTCCTCTCAGTGGGTGACCTCCCGTGACAGTTACAAAGGAGGACAAGCCACAGCCCAGCCTCGGGGAGTCCATCTGTCGTTTCTCTAGACTGGTTAGAGTGCGCGCTTCAAGACCAGGCCTGGTCACAGTCTCCTCTGCTTACCACCCTTTCCTGGTTGTCCTTTGTGCCCAGGATGCCATCCAGCCCCCACGCCTTGGCCCACTGGGCCGCTGTGAGCCTCTGCCTCCGCTCCCAGCCCCACTACACCGCCCCTGAGGGCCTTCCTTCCATTCCCGCACACTGTGGCCCCCGGCCTAGCCAAAGACTGCAGCTCCAGAGCTCTGTCCCCAGCCTCCACCTGTATTGTAAATAAGAGTCATGAACCTTATTTCGTTTTTTCATCAATTTCTTTTTTTTTTTTTTGAGACAGAGTCTCACTCTTGTTGCCCAGGTTGGAGTGCAATGGCGTGATCTCGGTTCACTGCAACCTCCGCCTCCTTGGTTCAAGCGATTCTCCCGCCTCAGCCTCCCGGGTAGCTGGGATTACAGGCACCTGCCACCACACCTGGCTAATTTTTGTACTTTTTAGTAGAGATGGGGTTTCACCATGTTGGCCAGGTTGGTCTCAAACTCCTGACCTCAGGTGACCCACCCGCCTTGGCCTCCCAGAGTGCTGAGATTACAGGCTGAGCCACTGCGCCTGGATTTTCATCAATTTCTGTAGTTTCCAACTTGGTGAAAGGCAGGGGCCCTGCCAGAGCTCTGTGGATCTGTGGCTATCTCTAGTTTTTCAATACCTTTGCTAAGTCTTTTTCTTCCTTTTTGTTTTTTTCTTGTCACTTTCTTTTAACAACTTAATTGAAATCTCATTTGTACACCATTAAATTCACCCATTGTAAGCATGTAATTCAACATACAGATTTCCACAACCATCACCACAATCCATAATGTTCATTGCATTTAATGCTCGCTGCAGTTAATCCCGTCTCCAGCCCTGGGCAGCCACCAATCTGCTTTCTAGTTCTATAAATTTACCTTTTCTAGAATTTCACATAAGTGGGCTCATGCAGTATTTAGTCTTTTGCGTCTGGCTTCTTTCATACAGGGTGGTGTTCTTTTGAGGTTTCTTTGCGGTCCATTTATGCATGTTGTAGCACGATTCAGTGCTTCATTTCCTTCGAGAGCTGACTGGATTGTGCTTGGCTGTCATATGTGTACAGTCATAGTCAAAACCAAAGGCCGTCCTGCTTTAGTGTGTTAATACGGTGACTGCGGTTTTTGCATGTTGAACCAGTCTTTCATTCCTGGAATGAATCTCATCTGATTGTGAGCTGTTATCATTTTCTATTTTGCCAGATTCAGTTTATTCATATTTTTGTTGAGAATTTTCGCTTCCATGTTTATGAAGGACATTGGTCTTTGGTTTTCTTTTCTTAAAAGGTATTTGTTTGGTTTTAGAATTAGGATAATGCTGGCCTCATAAAATGAATTTGGACGTATGCTCTCCTTTTCTGTTTTCTGGAACAGATAGTGTAGAATTATTAGTGTTTCCTAATGTTTGGTAACTTTCATTACTGAAACTACCTGGACCTGAAGTTTTCCTTTTTAGAAGAATTTTAACTTGCAGTTCAATTTCTCTAATAGATACAGGAAAATTTAAGTTATTTCTTCTTGAGTGAGTTGTAGTAGTTTATGTCTTTCAAGGATTTGTTCTACTCATTTCATTCTATTCCATCTAAATTTTTGAATTCATGGGCATAGAGTTGTTTGTGATAATCCCTTGTTATCCTCTTCATGTGTTTGTTGTCATTAGTGATGACTCCTCTTTCAGTCCTAATATGGCTAATTTTGTGTATTTATTTTGGTTAGTTTGGCTAGAAGTTTATAATTTTTATTGATCTTTGCAGAGAATCAGTTTTTGGCTTGATTCTGATTCCCTGTTATTTTTGTGTCTTTAACTTCCTTGGTTTCTGCTCTGAACTTTGAGCATTTTGTCCCTTCTGCTGCCTTCGGATTGCATTTGTTCTTTCACTTGGTCTTTCTGGTGGAAATTTAGCTTACTGAGTTGGGAGTTTTCTTCTCTTCTAACATAAGCATTTATGCTATACATTTCTCCGTATGTACTAGTTTTGTTGCATCTCATCAATTTTGATGGGCTGTGTTTTCATTGAGTTCAAAACATCAAAACGTTTTTAAAAATTTCCCTTGAGACTCTTTATTCCATGCATCAGTCGGGAGTGTGCTGTTTCATTTTTGAATCTTAGGGGATTTTCCAGCTAGTATTCCATAATTGATTTCTAGTTTAATACTGTTAAGGCCCAAGAACATAGTTGTATAACTTCTGTTCTTTTACATTTGTTAAGGTTTGTTTCATGGATCATAATATGGTCATTCTTGGTGAATGTTCCATGTACATTTGAGAGTAATGTGTAGTTTACATCTATTTATAAATTCCCATGAGGTCAAGCTAATTGATGATATTGGCCAAGTAATCACTATCCTTACTGATTTTCTGCCTACTCATTCCATCAATTATTATGAGAGGAATGTTGACATCTCCAAATATAATCATAGATTGTTTATTTTTCCTTTAGGCCTATTAGTTTTTGTCTCTGTTTTGAGGTGCATTCACATTTAGGATTATGATATTTTGTTGGAAGATTGGCTGCTGTATCATTATATAATGTCTCTCTCCCTTGTTCTGAACTCTATTTTGATGTAAATATAGCAACTAGCTTTCTTTTAATTAGTATTTGCATGGCATGTCTTTATCCTTTTGCTTTTTATATACCTTAAAATCTATATTTAAAATGGATTTCTTGTAGACATCGTATATTTACATATTGCTTTAAAAAATTCAATTTGACAGTTGTTGTATTTTAAGATAATGTGGCTACATCACTCACACTTAAAGTAGTTATTGAGATGGTTTGATTGAAATTTACCTCTTTGCAAATTCTTTTCTTCTTTGTACTTTGTTTCTTGTTCTTTTTTTCTCCCTTTTCTGGAGCTAATTGATAATTTTTTGATTCCATTTTATCTCTTCTGTGGACTTACTACTTATGTCAGTTTAAAAAATTGTAGCTGTCGACTTAGAATTTAAAATGTAGGTCGGGCACAGTGGCTCACGCCTGTAATCCCAGCACTTTGGGAGGCTGAGGTAGGCAGATCATTTGAAGTCAAGAGTTTGAGACCAGCCTGACCAACATGGTGACACCCTGTCTCTACTAAAATACAAAAATTAGCTGGGCATGGTGGTGGGTGCCTGTAATCCCAGCTACTCGGGAGACTGAGGCAGGAGAATTGCTTAAACCTGGGAGGCAGAGGTTGCAGTGAGCTGAGTTCGTGCCATTGCACTCCAGCCTGGGCAATAGAGGGAGACTCCATCTCAAAAAAAAAAGAAAGAAAGAAATATATATATACATTTAAAAATTAACCTGAAACTACTAATCACACTAAGTGTAGATAGTATTAGGATTGTACAATAGTATCTTCATAATTCCCCACTTTAAAGATGTCTCTTCATTATTGTTTCTACTTCCATGGTTTCTGATGAGAAGTCAGTATTAATCCTTATCTTTTTTTTTTTGGTCTTTTTTCTTCTGGCTACCTTTAGAATTTTCTGTTTGTCTTTAGTTTTCAGAAGTTTCAGTGTAATATGCCTATATGTGGTTTGTTTCTTAAAATTTATCATGCTTGGTGTTCCAGGAGATTCTTGGATCGGTGGTTTGGTGAAATTTACCAAACATTAAGTAAGAAATAATAAAAATTCTACACAATATGTTCCAGAAAATAGAAAAGGGAGAGAATACTTCTTTTTTTTTTTTTTTTTTTTTTGAGACGGAGTCTCACTCTGTCGCCCAGGCTGGAGTGCAGTGGCCGGATCTCAGCTCACAGCAAGCTCCACCTCCCGGGTTTATGCCATTCTCCTGCCTCAGCCTCCCCAGTAGCTGGGACTACAGGCGCCCACCACCTCGCCCGGCTAGTTTTTTGTATTTTTTAGTAGAGACGGGGTTTCACCGTGTTAGCCAGGATGGTCTCGATCTCCTGACCTCGTGATCCGCCTGTCTCGGCCTCCCAAAGTGCTGGGATTACAGGCTTGAGCCACCGTGCCCGGCTGAGAATACTTCTAAACTCATTTTATGAGGTCAGCATTTTCCTAATTCCAAAATCAAATGAAAGCAACTAAAGAAAAGAAAACCAAAGACCAATTTCCCTTTTGAACATGGAAGCAAAAATTCTCAACAAAGGATGAGCAAATTGAATCCAGCAATATGTAAGATGATAATACGTTACTGATATAGTTTGGCTGTGTCCCCACCCAAATCTCAACTTGAATTGTATCTCCTAGAATTCCCATGTGTTGTGGGAGAGACCCAGTGGGAGGTAATTGAATCATGAGGGCCGGTCTTTCCTGTGCTAGTCTCATGATAGTGAATAAGTCTCACGAGATCTGATGGGTGTATCAGGGGTTTCCACTTTTGCTTCTTTTTTATTTTCTCTTGCTGCTGCCATGTGATAAGTGCCTTTCACCTCCTACCGTGATTCTGAGGTCTCCCCAGCCATGTGGAACTCTGTCCAGTTAAAC